CAAACCAGACCTCAATCTCTGAGCGCCAATATCGATCGAAACTCAGCGAAATTCTTGCAAAAATCGTTGTTTTGTTGTCGCGATGTAGGCTAGATCTAAGGGTAAACAATACGGAGCCTGGTATAATAAAAAGGCTCTTCAAAGAAAGATATTCAACTACATTTGTGAAATTCTTGCATAAATGTGTGCTAGGGTGATTATATCGCTACAATGTTGTGTTGATTCCTATGGATTATAAGGACTTGTAGAGCTGAGAAAATGCGGTAAGTCGAAATTTTCGAAGAGCTGTTGCGCAATTTTTTTTCCACATTCGTTTTTGTCAGAAGGAAAATGCAGAGATGCCAACCACAGAAAACCGAAATGAGTATTGGGAAATATGAAAATGTGTATTTTCAGTTGAAAATGTGTATTCCCCACAACCGACCGACCAACCAGTAGGCTAAAACAGCACCTAGACATGGATGGCTGGTGCCTCTATAAATAAATCATTGATGGTCGACCAACCAGTAATAGTAAAATGTTCAGGGTGTCCAGCAATATTTCCTGAAAAAAATTTACTAGCTCACCAGCTCGAAAAAGGGAGCACACACGCGTACAATATACGTATCCAGTCAACAACATGTCAGTGTTCAATGTTGTACTGGGGTCTTGTTTGACTTAAGTATTTCAGTCTATTTATATAATATTTTCCTCTCATTATTATATATATATAAAAAATAAATCCTGCTTTGAGAGTTCGGAAGTCCTAGAACAAGAATTTCGACTATCAAGAACCAGTCTGGATGTCATGATTCATATTATGAACTGACAGACTCAAATTATTGCTCAAACTCAGAGAAAAGCAATAACTTAATGGCTCAAGTAGACCCATGCACTGTGAGAGTTGTAACAACTGTGGTAGGGCAAGATGCAGTGACACTGAAAATCCGCCAGTCTTGAACAGAAAACTACAACATACACTGTACTTATAATTTGGAAGAGGCTAGCCGTACTTAATGACGGCTAGACTGGCAGTCTAGCCGTACTTATTCTTAATATGATGGCTAGACTCACCATTTACAAAAAATAGGCCTACTGAATTGTAAATATACATTTTTAGTGTGCAGTACCTAAAGTATTTGTATTTGAGACGAAACCAGGTGCCTTAACTCTTATCCTGCGTCTGTGCCCAGATGCGTATCTTATCAGCAACCGATTACGTCGGACTCGCCGGGCAGGCCGCCGGGGTCACTCAGTGTGTACTGTTGGTGTACAGCGCGCGCGCCGGGAAACGTGTGTTTTCGCCATGAATACCGCGTGAGTGTGTTAACTGATGATGAAAATAACGCTCTATCCTTCATAGCATTCTATTTATAAAGTGTTACAAACACATGAATAACCCCCTCTCACAAGCTGATAAGACATTACCAGTAGTTACGGCCATTTGAATAACCTTTCTGGACGCTCTTGTTGTTATGAATGACCTGAGGTTCGAAAAGGGATAATTTAGGTCAATTTCCGAATGTTTTACACTCAAATTGTTCTTTGTACCTGCACAAGGGTATTCAAAACTATTAAACAAGTTCATCTTTTATCAGGTAGTATCATTTCATACAAAATCAAGCTCATTTGAAATATTTTGTATAGAAAAATGGAAGTCTTGTTTCCAGACTATCCTTTCGAGCTCCTATGTCTTAGTGGGTCAATTTCTTCTATAATTTCATTGGACGAACATCTAGAGCTATCAACTTGGCATGTTTTGAATGAGACGTATGCCTCGATTACGAACCAACGCAGGTGGTTCTAGAAGAAGGCCACAAACGCACACAAACTCAAGCAGACTGACGCACACAAACTTGACTTGCGTGAATGGGGATCCGACTCGGGACCCGAATGACACGTAAGAGGAGGCGCGCTGCGCGTGCGCTGAGCCAGGAGCTACACTGACTCGGGACCAGAACGCAGGCGAGGTGCCGAAATAGGCTTATCGGGCTACATAAACCCGGCTCCCGCAGGATGAAGGTTAATGACAGTGCATGTATTTTAAACCTCCTGTTTTCTAATGTTAATAGGGCCTAAGATAAGTACGGCTAGACTGGCAGTCTAGCCGTACTTAAGTACGGCTAGACTTCTTGTCTTGCCGTACTTAAGTACGGGTAGACAGCCAGGCTAGCCGTACTTAAGGACGGCTAGACTGTCAGTCTAGCCGTACTTAATATTGATGGCTGAATTGTAAATGAAATTTTTAGTTTGCAATGCCTAAAGTATTTGTATTTCAGACAAAACCAAAAGGTGCCTTATGGACTTGCATATGTATTTGAACCTGAATAATTACTAGATCTAGATCTGAGACCTGTGTACTTAACAGGCTTGAGTCGATAGGGCCAAACCTAGATCTAAGTACGGCTAGACTGACAGTCTAGCCGTACTTAAGTACGGCTAGCCACTACGTATAATTTACTAGATCTATCACCCATCCAATGAAACGCGAACACTTTATTTCAATAACACAGACTAGCGAAGTATGAGGGGTCCCGATTCCGCACATGGCCTGCACCAACACGCGCTTTGCAGAAAGCTCTAATCAAAATTCTGAAAATTGCTTCCAAGTTTTTGTCGTCTGGTGTTGCCTTAAAACCCCGATATCTTGAACCCAAAAAAAATCAATAATCTCCTCCCCTATTCCGTAGTTATATACTTCGCAACGCCGTTACTCCCACAAAGACTGTCTTTGCTCACACGATGCCGCATTTATTTATGATGCGAAAGCGCACAGGGTCAGTGACCGGTCACGATGGCGAGCCAGACAATCTAAAAATCGGACGACGCTTGTACTTTCTTTTCTTTTCTTTTTTTCTACAAGTGATAGCACAGTGACGAGTCAGAGTATTTATTCCATTTTATTTGCACGGCGACATTGTGTTTAATACTGCACAACCCGCATGCCACAAATGTTGTCTTATCAGACAACTGCTGGCAAACTTCTCGGTGGTAACGAAAGCGAAAGTAGATCTTGATTTTCCCGATCGAGCCTCGTCGGTGTCACATACGTTTCCGCCTACCGCCATAGCTGCCTTTTCACGTGAAAGTGAAACGTACTCTCCAGATAGACGGGGACGGGGAAAAGCTAAATGAATATAATATCACGATAGCGACCGGCAAAAATGAACTTACTGACCACATCGGACTTGGTTTTCAATTATTCCAGTTCTGCGATGCTGATACTATTTTGACAAAAGATGACCTGAGATAATTAAACTAGGTTTACTCGCCCAAGCTGAATCTCGTAGTTTTCGCATTCCAGGATGCGTATTTTTTCATGAAAAGTCGTATCCGCGTATTTTCGGCCAAAAATCGTACTAAAATACGTAAAATCATACTGGTTGGCATCTCTGCGTGTATGTAGACCCTGAGGCTACGCGCCCGGTTACCGTGTACGTAGACCCTGAGGCTACGCGCCCGGTTACCGTGTGTACATAGACTCCGAATACCAAAAGTAAATTAATTTGATCGTCTACAAAGATGCTACGGCTATTTAACTTTTCGAATCGAGCCGCACTACGCCACGCGGGTCGCCATTTTGTTTTGCCCGGAAGTTCTCGCGCTACTCCTCTCTCTCTCTCTCCACTGCCCACAGACAAAATTGTACGTTTTTAGTATTTTAATTTTAGTAGTAGGCTAACAGTAGTAATGGAACGTTTGTTCACGGCACAGAATTCGGCGCTTTTTCGGTAGTTCCCACCCCGCATTTGTTATTCGCCCCAAGAGTAGGGGGGTTTCAGGGGGGCTTGCCCCCCTGACCTAATAAAAACAAGGTGGGGGGGTTTTACCACAATTTCATGTTTTGCAGTTGTTAGGTTTGACATCTTAGCTTGCCGCGAATCAAACGTATATAGATTCTAGATCTAGATTTAGATGTAGGTCAGGCTCTATCAAATAAGGGGGTTGGGAAACATGCCGTTAATCTTAGAAATGACGCATCTTTCTGATTGGCTGCTTATTTTAGTAATGTGATGTCAGCACTTCCTGGGATACCCAAACATGGAACGATGTGTTTTCGGTAACATTTCGGATTTTCTAGATCTAGACTCTAGATCTAGATCTAGATTTAGAATCTAGATATAGATCTAGATCTAGATATAGATCTAGATCTAGATCTAGATCTAGATTCTAGATTAGATCTAGATCTAGATCTAGATATCTAAATTTAGATCTAGATCTAGATCTAAATTTAGATCTACCACCCCCCCCCCTCCTCCTGCATTTTTAATCACTAATACATTTTTTAAAATAAACAACAACTTCAAAGTCAAAGCAACTCTACAAATTAGGCCTATAATTTATGGAACTGTTGGTCAGTCGGGAGGAGGAAATGAGAAAAAAAAACTGTCCGGGACCGGAATCGAACCTCTCCAAAAGTCATTGCTCGACATCAAACGCAGACGCGCTATCAAATCAGCTATCAGAAATTCCGAGAAATTTGTGTAGATTAAGCATAATATACAATACATAGACACTTCCATCTTTGGTGCCATGCGGTTGTCTATACTTAGATGTAGTCACGTGATCGGAGGGGTATCCTGGTCTGACGTCAAACAAGATGGGCGCCTTACCTAAAAATAGTTTGCATCATTTCTACTTTTATTAATAATCGCATGTGGTTGGGAACTAGAATCTAGATCTAGAATCTAGATCTAGATCTAGAAATCTAGATCTAGATCTAGAGATCTACCGAAAAAGCGCCCAGAATTCTACAATTTTTCTGTTATCACAGTGTAGAATTCTGTGGTTTAGGGTGAACGCAAAATTGGTTAGCCTTGATCTAGATCTAGGCTATAACAGTGAACGGACACCGGGTGAGAATTGCCAAAAGACTCGCCTGCGCTATTCTCACCCAGGGTGAGAATACTGAATACTGAATAGAGGTGGCCATTTCATATCGAATCCCACTATTTCTATTGAATACGACACAGGCGGGACAACTAGAGTCTACAACAAACAGAGATAAACAAAATATTTACCACTTCGTAACGGACGTTCGACCTCGCCATCATGCCTCAAATCTCGAATCAGAAACTAAAGATCTGTTTTCACTGAGTCAGTTATGATTCTGTTACACTCCCTGGTCTGGTGACAAAAACAATATGGCCGCCTGTCAGTCTCCTTTTTTACTACGAATTCTGAGAAATCGAATATTATTTCTCAATTGACTCGATTCCTAGTTAAATCCCGATCTTTGGTTCAATGGTTCAATCAATGATCATAGGATTCACAGGCCAACCAGAGGGCCAACATAACAAGATGGTCCACTCCTCTCGATGAGCCTATTAAAACAGTGTCCTCAAAATTCTTTGCAAATGCATCAAAGATCGTACAAAGGCCTAGCCTAGCCAAGCCAAAGAGACTCTTTGGCCTAGCTAACTATCAAAGATTATCAAGGCTCTTACAATACTAGGCCAGTAGGCAAGAGAGTCTTTGCTACAATGTTTCGTTCAATTCAAAGATATAGACTATTTATACAAGATAGTCAAAACCCTCTATTTGAACAGCTAAGAGAGCACCCTCTAAATCGCCAGGGGCGCCTCCTGACAATCTTAGCAGGCAGATTGGCAAGGGGCTAAGGCTGATCAAGGTATGAGACGATCAAGAACAAAACTGCTTATTCGAGGCAGCATCACTGAGTTGTGAAAGAAAACAAATCCGGAATTCATGATACTGTGTGTTCACCTGTGAAAATATCGAGAAATATCTAATATATTTTATTCCACTTATTTGGGCAAAACGTTTTAAACGTACAAAGTGGGAATAATGGTCTCAAGATTTTTCAAAAGTAAATTTAACTAAAGATGTGAATGCGCAAACATTTAATAAGGCAAAGAAGCAAGACGACAATGCATCAGTAATTGCAACTTGGTTTCAAAGTTGGCTGTCGCTTTGTCTAACTATAGATTGTGGCTAGATATATGTCATAACCTGATTATAAAGTGATTTAAAGAGTTGATGAAAAAGAACAAGCACTCGAACAGCATCCACAAGATTAATAAAATACAATATTTGGAAAATTCCAATACCATGTGTTTAAAAGGGAGTATTTGCTTGTTTGAATATATCTAACAAAGCAAAAGCAAAAATTCTCTATTATGAAAAAAATAAGTCCCAGAACTAGTCCATTTACTATTAAAAATTGATGCGCGGAACACGAATATCGACTTCATTTCCGTCGCAAATTAATAGTTTTTGAAATGCCCCCGTTTTAACACATAATTTGATATTTTACCGTTCGATTTGAAATTTTCTTGAAAATAATTGATTTGCGACAGTTTTAGTGGCTTTATTGTGATCTGTAGTTTGACCCCAGAAGCAGTGCATCTGTGTGCGGGAGTGAAAGTAAAAATTTACCGAAATCAAAAGTTGTTCACATCAGTTGTTGGTTGTTTTGTGTGTGTGTGTGTGTGTGTGTGTGTGTGTGTGTGTGTGTGTGTGTGTGT